GTGTTAAAATAAATAAATTACTAGTTACACGGATGGTAGTTGAAAATTTAAATACCTTATAAAAATATTTATATTATTATATTTAGTATGATATTTTTTATTTGTGCGACTTATTTGTGTTATATTATAATAATTTTTTAACTTACAACATCTAACTACATTAAACATAAATATATCAATTGAGAAATAAATTTTATTTTTCTAATGAATTTTGGTAAATATTATTATTTTTTGTTATTATAAAGGTAAATATATTTTATTTATTTCATATATACAATATAGATGTCAAATCAAAGATCATCAAAAGATAATTAATTTAATATATTATATATATAAAACCGATAAGAAATACAAAAATTATAAACTTTTAAAATACATTTACAATTCAATAACTAACTGTATGAAACAAATCAAAAGTCAGGGATATATTCACACTATCAAAAATTATAAAGAATTAAAGGGTTATATTAGTACAATTGATATTAAAATACCTAAAATAGCTAAATAATATTTATAGAATGTCCGAACCTACATTATTAATTATTAATATATAATATTATTTGTTCAAACATAACTACAAAGCATGATTCTTTGCCAAATAGAATTCTGAATCACCAGAAGTAATTATGTAGGCTCAGGGCATTCGGAAATTATATATAGAGAGAATATAAATTAATGTAGTAAAAGAAATTGTTGCCCACCAAAAATTGATGGAATGAAAATTAATTTTTAGATTAAACAAAAAGAAAAAAAAATAGATAATTTGTATATCTAGAATAGAAATGCAATTTAACTTTTTTCTTTTGTTATACTTGAAGTCAAAGAGGATAATCTCGTCATATCCTCATTGTTCCTTGTCTCATTAAAAACCTTAAACTATTTGTAGTGAAGTACAATCTTGTACTATTTAGAAAAAAAAAAAAGAGAGAGAAAGAAAAAAAAAAGTACAATCTTATACTATATCCTAGTATTAATACTAATGCTCATGTACAACATGTGTGTTGAAGTAATGAATATATATGTAAGGTTATTTATGTCTAATATCAAATCTAACTTCAGAGCAAAAATAATATAAAAACAACATCACGAAACATAGATTTTCGCTATGTTAGCATCCGAAGCGTGAGAATCTGTCACATAGGCTCAACATATTTTGAATTAATATATAGAGAGGGATATTACAATTTGTATACTATTTTTATCAAAATACAAAAGGCTTTAATTCCTAAGTCAATACGGTGAGAATCTCTGCGCATAGAGCGACTTGTTTAAATGACACATGCCGACAAATAAGCGAGTAAACGTCTTGTATTTAATTGTTGGTGTGGGAAGGCACCTTAGGCCTCCGGCCTCCTTCTTTGTACCAAAAAAAAAAAAAAAAT